CATAAGAACAAGTTTTGTTCTAATGACTTAGGCAAACTTTTAGCATTGTGTGCTCACTACATGCGAGCAATGATCCCATTTAATCCTCGGATTAACCTGTTGTGGTTTAAATATTATAATTCCCATTTAATAGATAAGAATAATGAAACTCAGAGGAATTAAGCTATTTTCCCAAGATCACACAGCAGATAAAATGTGAAGATGCAGAGACTGAACTTGGGTATGACTAATTCCAGAAAACCTGCTCTCCATCCATTTAATACAATTGAAATTGTATTTCATATAGTTAAATATAATCATATATCATCTAAAGAACCAAGCTCTTTCCTACATCCTGTGGAATATACACTGGCCAACTAACAACACACAGGAACAGAAATTTGTCCTTTGTGCTATCCTTAGCTCCAAACAAAATCAGCTGCCCCAAACTATTACTAGACCTACATATGCTTTATTTATTAATCAGAAACACACAGTGACAGGAAGTTATTAAATACCAATTCTTAGCCCCCAAGAGAACATAATGAATAATAATAGTTGGACAAGTTTATCAGAAGGGGGACTGCAACAAATTTGTGGAATCCCTTATGAAAATTCAAACACTGAACTTCCAGTATGGGAATCATGACCAATATGTACTTGACAAGACAATATTTTTAAATTTGCCCTTAAAAATATCTTAAATATATTTCATAGCAAAACATGTTTTTGAACCGGCACTATTAAATGTTAATAAGAACATTTAGTTCTACTAAGTATTGTTTAAAAAAGTAAGAAATTTAAAATTAGGACATAATTCCACCATACACACCCAAAGCTATAGAAACCCTGTCCCATTCAAGATAAAAGGCAACTTGAGTCTCTAGGAACATTCAGTTTGTTGCCATAATGGATGACTAGAGGTCATATTCATTTACTTTAAAAGGTTTTGGTAACAGTGAATCAGGTCAAGATGAACCATTGTTTTAGGATCATTACTGGAAATATAAACCACCTAAGTATCAGTATTAGAAATAGATTGAATTAACGTAAAAGAGATTACTCAGGAAATTAAAATGGGCACAGTAGTATAAACAATAGAGTAAAAAATAAAAGTTATCCTCAAAAAAATCTAGGAAGATATTTTTCTATGAAATATTTATAAATTTCACCTTATATTTTATGAGCATTAAAATTTAGCTAGATACAGTAAGTAGGAATGTAAAAGTGTTCTATATTTTTAAGAACAGTAATAAATATTTAAAGGAAAACATTACCAAATAATAGAAAAAAAAAACTGAAACTTCTTGGTGTTCCTAAAATTAAGTCTCATAAGGAAATGAACAAATGTTCTTGAGAAAAGATGAGATGTTACTGTTACTGTTATTATGACACCATTTTACTTGTAGAATGAAATAATTTATGAAATTGCAAAGAATAACAAAAACTTTCTTAAATCTTTGAACCATGAGTCATGTGAGTAAACCTGAAAGACAACTATAACTCTATCAAGTATTCATTCATAAGGAAGTAATGTAGATTGAGCTTTTAATTCAATCAGGCAGTTTTAGAGCTACGGTTGCTTTTTAAAGAGTGACAGTTCATAAAGAATTGAGCCTGAGTTATTAAATAAAATTGGCTAATTTGCTAATTCTTATAGCATTTTTCTCTTCAAATAAATATAGAGTAAAATCTACCACTACTCTTTTCATGTGGAGTTGAAAAAAGATAGAATTAACAGGTCAAAATAAATTTTAAATAACCTCGTCATTAGAATATGTGAATGGTGAATATGCATACACGCAAATACACACTTGTTCATATATTTTGAAAATTGATTCACGTGTACTTCGAATGAAATAAAGATGTCTAAATTAGCCTCTATTTAAAGAAATCTCGGTAAAAGAATAAGAAAAATGTCGGGGAACATAACAAGGGTGAAAATTTGTCCACTCTCTTACCTTATCAATATAACCCATCTAGCAGATCTGTCTAACCCAACTAATTGCATGCCTCTACCAATACTTAGACCAAGTTAGTGTCTTATGTATTTAAAATTGAAACAAAAATTTTAAAGGTGGTCATAACTGTGGACCAGAAGCATTGAAGTTCACACTTCTATCAATAAAGGAACTGGAATGCATTGTTTTCTAAGGTCCAAAGCAACAACAGTACAACACATCAAAGAATATGCAAACGGTGAACAAAGTAAATTGGTATATTTATTTCTATGTCATCTTAAGGCTCCATATTTAAGAAAGAAACAAGAAGTAGATCAAAATTTAAATATATCACATAAGTATTTCCAGATATCAAAGAAAATTAATCTATGGTGAATTCTTATGTGAGCATTTGATTATGTATGCATTGACAAAAATACATTTTACAATAAATTTGTTATAAATTTGATTTGCCTTTCACTAAAGCAGTTTGACTTTTACTCTTCTTCCTCCTTGTCCTATGCTGCCAAGGAAAAGGAGGAAGTAGAAAGAAGAAAAAAAGAGAAAACATTCTAAAAAAGATATGGTAAGGATTTATGTGAGAAAAAACAGGAACTGTTCTACATTTTTCTATTTCTACACATGCCACTACATCAGTGTTTCCCATAACTGTTTGAACAATCTCTCAACAGACGATTTTAAATATATTGTGACTTTTATAACTATTAAGTGCTTATAAGACTGCCCCAAATTAACAATTTATACAATATGCTTTAGAACTATGCTTTTAGTTAGTGAATATACTAGAAGCTGTGAAAATGAATTCCTTTCAGATTGTCAATCTTGCTCAGTACTTATTTTTTTACCTTAAACATTCCCTACTTTCCAAATTCTTTTTTTAAAAATAATAGCTTGATGGGTTTTGACTCTGTCAGTAACATTTATCTGTACTAAAACTAGAAAGAAGACAAACACAGATATAATGTCTCAAAATCTCTATTGATGTTTTCCTCAAATTACCATCAGTGTGACATTATTTCCTTTAGGGGCAGCAGGGTTGGTTGGTTGTTTTTCACCTTGCAAACTAGTGGAGGCCAGGAGCTTAACATTTTGATCAAATAGATATGCTAAACTTTTAAATTTCTCTTACTCAGCAAAATTTCTATTAAGAGTCAGAAAATTTTGCTTCTGATCCTAGTTCTACCTATAACTAGTTGCATAATCTTGGGCAAGTCATTAAACTTGGCTTCAGCTCTCTAGAACATAGTTTCTATAGTCTATCATTTTTAGGGCAGGTAATTTTTAATGCACTTTATTTTTTAAATGCTCTGACATAAATTATAATGCTCTATGATCTGGAGCAAGAATCCATTCATTTCAACATTTTGTCATTATGAGTGAGCTTAAAATCCACATTATATATGTAGTGGTCATAATTGTGGAATAATTCCAAAAAAGTTCTGAAGGTGTTGGCTAAATTTAAATGGTCAAAAACCAAGCTTATTGGGCCTTCTTCATGTTTATAATATGGGTTTATATATACTTTTGAAATTATGTTTAGCAAAAGACCCTCTCAGTCTCATAAAAATTATAAAAATTTAAAACCATTGGTACCCTCATCAAATTACAGTAAAACCAAGTGATTTTGCAAAAAGCCATTTCACTGATTATAGAATTATATCTTATTTACAATGAGAGACTGCCAAAACATTTTTTTAACTTAGGTTTTTAATAATTAAAAACATTTTAAATGTAGATAAGCAGAACTGTCAACTAAAACTATATTCAAAGTTAGCATACTTGGACTGAACATGGAAATCCAATGAACAGTTTAAACCACTGAAGTGAACTACCACACTCCAGATCTGAACAGATGGATCATATCACATTAGAAATGTGCTGCTCATAATTACAGTTAAAGAAGGCAAAGACTCCTGGTTGGATCATCTCACTGATGTTTCTCTGTCTCACTGAAGCTGCGACCAGCTCACTAAAATCTCAGGTGGAACAAGAATGAGTAAACCTTGATTGGGCTGTATAATCCAGGGCAAAGTAATTAAGTGAACCTGACCCAATTAGATAAACTTTGTTGGCAAAAAATTCTAAACATGATTAGCCCACAAATAAAATAATTTTGACATGTTTGCCTCTGTCATTTATGATATTTACATTCAATAAAATATGTTGGATTCTCAAAATATAACTTCAAGAGAATGATGGATTCCTCCCCAGATAATCTGACTGCGAATCTAACATTTGCTTCCAGATGGAGAATGTTACATAGGGTTGGATGCATAGCTCCATGAATTAGATTCCTTTTCTTGCTAGTCATAGCAAGTATGTCTTGAACACTTACTATGTGCCTTGACACTACACTAAAGCTCTCCATCTATGACCTCATGAAATGCTCATAAATGCTCTATGAAATAAGTGCTTTCAGAAAGCGAATTTTCAGGAAGGGATACAAATTTTGTCAAAGAAGTTCATGCCGCTCGCAAGTGATATCCCTGGAAAACTACTTTTTCCTTTTGTTACCAATACAGCTGCTTTCTTCCTTCTTTGTTGATGCTCTTCAACATTGCAAATTTCCACAAAGGAAAAATATGGAGGTTAGAAAGCCTCCCATCTTGGTTTCTTCCAGCAACACTAAGGGTGAAATTCTACTTGAACACCAAGTCATTACGTTCCCTAACTTCCACCTTTACCACACATGGCTCTTGAGCACACAGTAAAACGTTCTCTCTGCCACTGTTTGCTAGCTGAAACCCTGCTGTACCTTTCTGCTTTGGTCCCCCTGCAACTCTCCCATTAAGAACACTTACAGGCACATTTTAAACATTAAAAAAATAGAGACAATGAAACATTTCTAATAAATTTCCCTTCAATATAGGATGAAAATTACTGTCAGCTTGCTTAGACTGGAGCTCCCTGACACAGGAGGGCCTATGGCAGAGAGCCACAGGAGGCAACGTGTCATGAATTAAACTGAAAGCAATTTTTACTTTAGAGGTCATTTCAGTTAGGTCCACCTAAGACTGAGAAACAAATTATGTAATTTTTAATTGGACATAAGTATGAAATTATGATTTCTGACCTGGATCTGTTGCTGAAGCAAATTGATTTTGTGTTGTTGCTGCAGAAGCTGCTGCTGTTGTCTTGCAATCTGTGGAGAAATTGCACATAAAAATTATTTTTAAAGAGCACTGTAGTCCCAGGGGGAAATTACCAATATTCTATTTCTCAAAGTTTGATTTGATGCTGATTAAGATGATGCATATAGATGTACCTGTGTCCTTACAGTACCAGCAATTCATCGTTAAGTAGGATCAAATAAGACATTTAGTCTTCAGAAACTGTTCTTACTATTATTATTATTTAGCCTAAAACGAATATAGCACATCAGTGATCCAATCAGTAAGAAATGTAGAGAGTTTTAAAAATCCTGCTTCCTGGCAATACATTAAAAAGGTTACTGTCTTTGACATTTTCGACTCTTTTCTATGAGAGTATTGCATAAACAGGGAGTTGTGACCAAAAAGTTCAGCATAGCACAGAGTTTTGTAAGATGTTTTATTCCTTAGTGAGGTTTTGGTACTTTTGCTTTGTTTGGTTGTTTATTGATTGCTTGATTGATGTAAATACTGTCCTCATTTCTGCTTCCCTCAAACCCCTAAACTGCCAATTCCTCAATATACTCCATTCTGGTTTCTGCTCCCATTCTCTACTAAAATGATTCTTAATATACTCACCAACCACTTCCATTTTTTTAAATTCTGAAGTGTTTTTAGTCTTCAACTTTTAACCTTTCATCAGAATTCAACACTTAAGTGATCCCAAACTTCAGTGATCCCAAACTTACTTTCTTGGCTTCTAGGACATCACATTTTCCTAGTTTTGCTTCTACCTCTCGGTTTATTCGTTCTCAATGACCTTCAAAGGCTCTGTCTAGCCATCTACTGTTGTAGTTCTATAAGGCTTAATTCTAGACTCAATGATTTTTCTTCTGTACCTACTTCCATGTATGTGCCAAGTGATTGTAAATTTGTTTTTCTAGCCTAGACCTTTGCTGTAAGCCTCAGACCCATTTATCCAATGACATTCTCAAAGGTGCTTCAAATTCAACAGTTTCAAAACTAAACTCAAGACTTAGCCCTCATTGTGGTCATCTGAACTGTTTTCCAAGCCAGGGACTAGAACGATCACTCCATAATTTACTCTGATAAGATATCCTCTTATTTAATACACAGCATGCTATGATTTTATATTTATTTAATTATTTTTTTGTTTTAATTAACATCTTTCTGTCTCCTAGGTAGAAATCCATAAATGCAGTGAGGTTAGGGATCATGTACATTTTGCTCATCATTTGGAAAAAGTCTGGAGCAAAAGGAGTACAGAATGAATAGTTGATGAAGAATGCTTGATTGAAAAGATGAGAAGAAAATTTTCAACAGTTGTGTCATATAAGGTAGGAAACCTGGTAAGAATGTAATATCACACTCATAAATAAGCTCTAATTCTTATTCTCATATTATAATCATTTTCATGTTCATTAAAAAAGTATATCCCTTAACTTCAGTAACAGAAAGCTAAAAATTCAGGAAAACAATTGATACATACATAGTCCTTTACTATAAATAAAAATAAAGAAGCAAAATGAAGGGGATGAACTACGTGGCTGCACAATATACTTTTTATGTCCCTTATGGATATTGGTATAATTAAGATTATTTTAATGCTTTCTTCTACCTTAGGAATATGGTAAAAAAAAAATCTTTTTTTTTTTTTTTTTTTGCAGAAAGGTAGGAACACAGATGGTAGAAAAAGAAATATTGCTTTTTTCCTTAAGTCCAGTTCCTTTCCCCTACATACCAATATTTTAGCTGATAATTAAATCCTCTTATCAGCATCTTAAGAACTTATCAAGAAACTGACCACTTCGTACCCTTCCATCCTTCTTCCCATTCCAAACTACTATTGCATCTTGCCTAGATTGTTGTAAAAGCCTCCTATTTGCTCGTTCTGCTTCTGCCCTTGCTCCCTACAGCCTATTATTAACCAGCATCTGAAAAGATCCTTTGAAATATAAGTTGTGTCTTGTCACTCATCTTTTCAAAATACTTTGTCTCACTCAGAGTAAAAGCCAGTATCTGCAAGCCCAATATGATTTGGCTTCATGTCACCTCTGACTTCTTCTCCTCCTTCTCTCTGTCCTTCGTCACACCACTCTTGGCGCATTGCAGTCCTGTCTCTTGAACACATCAAGGATCTTCCTATTTCCCAAGGATGCTTCTGCCTTAGAGCCTCCATATGAAACACTTGTCTTCCCCTCCATATGAAACAGTCTTTTCCTAGATGACTCACTTTTTCACCTCCTACAAATCTCTGCTCAAATATTACCCTGTCAATAAGGTCTTCTCTGAGCACTCATTTTAAAAGAGCCTATCTCTCTACTTGGTACCCTCGTCCCTGACTCTCTGCTATATTTTTCACCATAATCCTTATCAACATATAATATATTTTATGTTTTTATTTTTATTTTTTTTACTTATTGTCTATCTCTTCCCAATTAGAATTCAACACATGAAGGATTTTTGTCTGTTTTATTCTTTGTTGTAGCCCAGTAACTAGAGCAGAAACTAACATCAAATCAGTGCTCAATAAATATTTGTTGAATAGATAAAAATGAAATGAAACTCAGAGTCTGGTGGAAAGGCTGATCAGTAGATAGGTTCATTAGCATCTCTAAGGGCTATAACAAGAAGGTTAGAGTGCACAGAGTAGGGACACGCTATACTGAGTAGGGAGTGTTAGGAGGAACATCAGAAAAGGAGTTCTCAAGAGAACATAAACCTAGCCTGAATCTTAAAGAATAAATACTACGTGCCCTTCAAGAGTTCCCTGTGCCCTGATGAAAAGATTGGTGGCCACAGGAGTGGTGACTATGCGTGCCAGCACTGCATGGTGGAGAGGGACTTCCATGGAGGGCAGGTTGGGCTCCAGAAACCTGACCTGTAGCTACCAGGAGCTATCTTCTCTCAGGCTGTGTAGGCATCATTGCTTGGCATCTCTCCAATACAGGGAAGGGATTCTGGAAGAACACAGGATTTCTAAAGTTCCAAGGAGAGTGTCAGAGAAAGTAAAAAATTCTAGAATCCTTTGCTATTTGGAGATCCAACAGAATGTGAACGGGAAAGAGAGAAAACTTGCTCTCCATTAGTGATTGCTCAGATTTTTTTTAAGGATAATCAGACCCAAAAGGAGGGATTTGAGCCCTCAGATCCACCAAAAAGAGAGAAAAATTGCTCTCCATTAGTGATTGCTCAGATTTTTTTTAAGGATAATCAGACCCAAAAGGAGGGATTTGAGCCCTCAGATCCACCAAAGTAGGGATTTTCTACAAAGAAATATCACCATCTGAAGTATAGTTTCAGAGGCTCTTAGAATTTTCTAGAATTAAGATGTCTGAAGGTATTAAGAGTGAAAACACACAAGAAAAATGTGATATTTTTCTAGACTGTCATAGACAAGTATTCTGAACTGTTTTATTATAGGGGTAAAGCAAGAGGAATATGGACCATAGCCAGTAACAAGCCAAATATATCTTTAAGGAAACTGATGAGCTATTTCACTAAAAATAAAATATCATCTATCAAGCAGAAATGAACCACTTAGTAGAGTACACTGGATGAAAGGGGGTCTCCTTAAACATAATCTGAATATTTCTTTACCTCTTTCAACTCTGCTAGTTTATACTTTGAAAGCTATTTAGAAGATTTTGCAGTACTTGTGGGGACACACAAATATCCTTGACTAAATAATGGTTCTCCTCCATTTAGGATAATGAGTAGACTGAGCTCAGAACATGAGATGTTAAAGGGAGATAGCCCTGGAAAAGATGTACTCGCCCTATAACACCCTCTAGTTTCCCTTCTCATTACTACCAATTTTCTTCAAGTAACAGTTCTTATGCATTGCCACCACTTTAGCACTACATACCAATTCTTTTATATGTCAATTCTTATTGTCTCATTTCTGCTACTAAAGCTCCACAGAAGCCACAGTCTTAAAGGCCAATGATGAGAATCTAAATGACAAGCCTAGTAGCTTCTTGATTCTGGTATGTTCATTTTCCTCATTCAGCTATATATAGTATCTCCAAAGGATCTGCCCTTAGTTCCTTTCCAGTTTCTCAAGGTATCACCACTACTCTAATTGAAGGCTTATAAATCTGCCATTCCTCTGCATGGAACACTGTGCCCAGATATTAATATGGCTATTTCTTGTGTGTCATTTAGATCTGAGCTTAATTGCCAGATCCAACTACCCAATCTAAGAACCACTTCTTTGCCATACCAATAACTATTTATGAAATTACTCTTCTTACATTTTTTCAATTTACTTATCTCTATTTGAAATTATTTTGTTAATTTCTTTTTCTTTGTCTTTCTGGTTAATTGAGGTAGCCTCAGCAGTTAGCACGATGCCTGGCACATAAGCAGCACAATTACTATTTGTTGATCAAATGAATAAAACTAATTTACTCCAGTGGTTTAAAGTACCATTTCTATGTAGATAATATAAGACATTTAGCTCACCCCTCTCTTTCAAACTGTTGATTGACATTTCTACCTGTATCTAGGTCCTTTCAGACGACAACCTGACAACAGCTTTAATTCAACATAATAAAGCCACTTTCTTTTCTAATGCTAGCCTTTCCCTGACTTGCCTTACTAGTCAGGTTCAAGACTTTCTTTCTCCCTTTTGCCCACTCAAAAAGTTCAAGTAACCATAATTCTTTGGTGAAATCTCTGCGTTAGTCAAGGCTTTTATTCCTTTCTTTTTTCTTTTTTTTTTCCATGTTCATTACTGCGTCTACTTTAGATTCTTGTTCTTTCTTATTTAAATTATTATGGTATCCTCCTATCTAATATTCTTGCCCTATAATTGAAATTTTACTGTAGTAGATGAATCCTACCTATTCTTCAAAGCTTATACCGAAAATCTGTTTAATGAAATCTTTTAAAATGTTCCTGACTGGAAATATTCTCTGGATTCTCTATGGTTATTTTTGGTATTTCTCTCATGAACTCTTGGCATTTCACCTTGATTATAATTACTTTCACGTTACGTACCATTAAAGTAGCCGGTAACCTCCTTCAGGTCAGAGTTTTTTGTCTGCTTTGTTTTGCCTTTTTATTTATTTACGTGGGGGCAGGGAGGAGACGATTTAATTACCTTTGTATGCCTACAAGGGTGACAAAAATAGCAGGGAAAACAAAGCCTAAGGAATCTGTGTCTCTAGTTTGTACTCACCTGTTCTTGTTGCTGCTTGGCCAGCTCCATTTGCTGGCGCTGTTTCTCAATCTGAGATGCAGCCAGTTTCTTCTGTTCGTCATGTGCCGCCAATAACTGCTCTCGCAGACTGGTCAGCTGATTGATCATACCCATGAGCTGCCTCTCCTTTTCAGCTAGGCTTTCGGGAGTCCCTGAAAATAATATGACAATAAAACATACAAGAAAGGAGAAATGAGAAGACAGTGATTTTTCAATGACAATGATTCTGTCGTACATAGGACTATTCCAAATATAAGATTCAACACTCAAACATATACTTACCTTCTTTTAGATTTGTGATGGTTATTTACCCATTACTAAACATCAGAATGAATGAATATTTTTATTGTTTTTTTAATTTGTGACAAGTAATAATATATAGTTTTTTTCTCTTTTATTTTACAAGTAATTCCAAAACTGTAGGTTTAGCTACTACTATTATTAATGTTCTATGCTGGGGCCTGATAGAAATAAAAAGAACCTAAGTAGTTTTTTTTTAAATCAAAATAAAGAAGCAAGACAAAAACATGAAAATTTAATAACCATAATTATTAAGAAATCAAGGTATTACTATCAGTGATATTCTTTAAAAAGAATCTTAAAAAATCAGAACTAATAAATCTTATATTAAAAAGGGAAAAAATCCATTAGCCAATCAAGTTTTGGACCTTTTTTTTTTATATATATATGCCACTCAGTCTTTCTTCAAAAATAGAATATAGCTCACAGAAAATACTGAAGTTTGAGAATATAACTTTAGTTTATCATGAAATAATTAATGTGGTTGGAAAACTAACAGATCACATTATGGTCACCCAGGATTACAGTTAAATCCAAGAATCAGATCAGTCTCGGCAACCATTTAAAATAAATACCATCCCGATCCCATCCGATCTCGGAAGCGAAGCAGGGTTGGGCCTGGTTAGTACTTGGATGGGAGACCACCTAGGAAGACCTGGTGCTGTAGGCGTAAAAAATTAAAAATAAGGGATTGTAATCTGACAAGGTCCTTGCAATCTGTGAGGTCAACCAAGGGTTGTCTCATCTAAATAATAATAATAATAAAAATAAAATAAATGCAATAAAATAAATACCACGATCAAGATTTGAAAATGCCAGTGAACAGTCTGAGTCAGGTTAAAAATACTAATTTGATAAACTGGAAATGTGAGCAGTTCACTGAAAAAGAAACATTTTCACTTTTAATTGTTCTCTTAAAATTCACCAGATAGACAAGATCCCTATGGTAAAGTACTAGCAGTAGAAGAGAACATACTTTTTAAATACAATATTCATTTGAAACATAAGACACTGACCACTATTTTAATAATGCATTTGCCACCTGTATATGTAATTAGATAGAAGATTCTGTTATAACTCTGTCACCCTCTGCATTCCACTGCATTTCTCCCTACCAATTTATGCCGAAGAAGCGTGTGCTTGCTTTTTTTGGAAGTAGTAGCTCTAGTTGGTAGCTTATAATTTATCTGTGCCCATTTGGAATGAAAATAAAGTTTCTAATGTAATTTAGAAAATTGGCCAGAGAGCAAACATCCAGAAAAGAAATTCTGAGTCAATATAAAGCAAGCATCATGGCTTATATTCCTTATTCCCAGAATCTAGCCTTATTCAGGGCAGGTGTTCAATAGATATTTGGATTTCATCTAAAAGAAGGATATTTACTCTAAGCATAATAAGTATATGACTACTGTAATTAGAATCTTAATATTAAATAATCTAAATACCGGGAATATTTTTTAAATGAAAATATTCAAATTAGTGTAAAATGTGCATCTTCAGTAGAGGAGTAAATTACTACCACAATTCTAGGATACACACTAGAAAGAGTTATACGTATTCTGTCTTGTAATCCTCATAATCTTCAAGGGGGCAATGTCATTTCTAAAAATCTAGCCCAAGAAAACTATCAGAAATGAAGATAAGTATTAATAAGTGTTTTAAATGAAATATTAGAAAAACTTAAATATCGAATGGGAATGGTCAAATAATTATGGAATATCCATATGCTAGATTATTTTGCATCTGTGATAAAAGTACGTAAGGATATTTAATGATATGGAAACTTGTTCATCACATAAAGCTAGGTAGAAAAGCTGGATAGAAATGAAACTTCTGTATAAACACCTCAATGCATGCACGTGGAAGAAAATTTATGAATACATTAATAGTGGCTATTTCTAGGTGATAGATTATAGATCATTCTAATATTTTTTCATATTTTTATATTTAGAAAATTTTCTACAATGACTACTATTATTTACATACTCAGAAAAATGTATTTCATGTAAATATGTGGAAGAATAATTTAAAAGCTTAAGGTGGCATTATGCATTTTAATAACGGATATAATACCAATATGTAAAGAAATATACTTATTATACTTATTTGATGATAAGTATAAACAAATATCATTTTGGCAACAATATATGAAAGATTAACAAAACCTTTCTGTCTCAGTAATATAGATGTAAATAAGATTTATTTGAAATTTAAAGCAAATCTAATTTCAGAGTTCATATGCAATTCAAAATTTTTGAACCTTTAGCCTGTCACCCTTCATCTTGACCTTCTCATGTGACTTCTCAAACACACCTCAATTCTGTTTCAACTCCTACTTAGTTAACCTTTTCTTCTCAATCGTCTTTACTGGTTCTTCTTCTTCTGCCCACTCAGAAATGCTCAAAATCTTCCCAGTCTACCTTTCTTTTGGCCTTGAGCTAACTAATATGATTCATTTCTCAAACTTTGTATTTCAACAATTCTGAGATCATTATTTGGGGTCTTTTAAACTCTCTGAGTCTTACAATGGACACTGTCTCAGAGTCAATGAAATATTAAGGTGTATACCAACCCTAAGCTTGTCTTCTAGCCCTACCAACTTATTTATGGATGTAGGATAAATATCTCTAAGTGTAGATATGAAATTTTAAAATTTCATATGTATAAGGTGGAACTCTATATTTTGCTCCAGTTTTTAAAGCATTATCACTCAATCAATTTTCTAAGCTAGAAATATTAACATCATCCTCAATTCTCTTCTCAGCCAGCCATCCTTATTATCCACAAATAAAAATTTTTCCTCAAAATAGATTTTTTGTTTTTCTTTAATTAATTTATTTTTTTAATATTATTATCTTCACATGAGTAAATAACCAGTAATTATAGAAGTGTATAGAATGAAAGATCCCCTCTCAACACTGTACTTCAAAAAAACCACCATTATTATTTTCTTGGGTAGCCTATACTTGTTAATAAAGATTTAAGCATATACCAAGGCTACTGTAGCAAAGTACCACAGATTGAGTGGCTTAAACAATAGAAATTTAAATTTACTGGCTAAAAGTCCAAGACCAGGTGTCACTGGAGTTGGTTCCTTCTGAGGGCTGTAAGGAAAAAAATATGTTCCAGAAAAATATGTTCCAGGAAAAACACCTTTTTCCTTAGCTTGCAAATTGCCCACTTTTATCTGTGTCTTCACATCATCTCTTTTTGTACATGTCTGTGTCCAAATTTCCTCCTCTTATGAGGACACCACTCAGATTAGGGCCAACCATAATGACTCCATTTAAACTTAATTACCTCCAAAGAGATCCTATCTCCAAGTACAGTCACATTCTATGGTACTAGGGGGGAGACTTTCAACACACAAATGTTTGGAAAGACATAATTCAACCCATAAAAATTTATTTTACATAAGCGATAATATAACAAACACTGCTGTATAGTACTCAGAGCACTTGTTCCAACTTTCCTCCTCTATCTCTACTGTCATTCTTCATCTTCTTTTTCATGAATTGTTGTAACAATTTTTAATAGAACTTCCTGTCATTAATTTTTCCCTCTACAGACCTATTCTCTAAAAAGGTACCCAAATTATTTTCCTAGAAAACAAATTTAGTCTTCCTCTGTTGAAACACCTTCACTGTTTTCAGAATAAAATGTCAATTAATTCTTAAGAATGAATGAAGTCCTTCAAAATATAACCTAATCTTCCTACTTTTTTGTGTATCCCAAATTCTAGCTACACTGAATTTTCTACCACCCTTCCAAAATGCTACCCGCATAAGTGCTAACTACATAAATATTCATTCTTCATGTTCCAGCTCCTGTGTCTTGTTTTTTACAATTCTTTTCCTTATTCCCATTGATAACAGTTGTTCTTTTCTTTGGGAATCCACACGGTATGTAACTTTATTATGGTACTTAAATATTATATTGTATTATCTTGTTTTCATAGTTGTCTTCTAAAGTCAGCAGAGATAGTTGTGACAGCAACAACTGTACATTACCAACTTTTATATCTTCATTACCTACTATAGCACCTGGCATACAGCAAATCATCTAAAACTGTTTAATGAATGGCATAAAGAACAAAGTCCCTTCTTTTTAAACCACTCTCAAGTTTAGGCATGCCATGTAGCCAAGAAAAATGGTGAACTGTTTTATCGTCTATCACTTGCATAAGTGTGAGTTGAACCAAGGAACTTAGGTTTTTGGAAAATAAATTTTTCCCCATTTTTATAAAAGAACTAAACCAAGATGAAGAAGTAAGCCCTATGGCTTCATCTCTAAATCGTCATATTCTTTATAATTATCTTCCAGTGAGTGTGGAGGGTCCAATAAGTGATTTATAAGCATCGGAGAAACCAGTAATGGTCACAAAACATCCTAGATTAAAAAAAGAAAGAAAATTAACTACATCATTGGAAGATCCCAGAGGCTCACTAAACCGAAAGAAAAGTTACCGTTTCTTTACTTAGATTCAGAATTTTAAGATTCATACAATTATGTAACACTATGGGGACAAAATCATATACGTATGGACTAGCTTCATTAGATTCGGGTAGCTAATGGTATGAGTTTATATATGTGTGTGTGTCATTGATAGGAATTTATCTTCATTTTTTTCAGTTATTTGCACTCATATGTGTTTTAATCTATGCTAGTCCTGCTTCAATTCCCTTAGGAAAAAGGGTTATTGAAGTAAGAAACAAATATATTCTATGTTTCACTTCTTCTTACTGCCTAGTAACCACAGGCATGATAATAATACAGGCGTGAGGTATTCCTTTAGTTCTATAGGTTCTTTAGAAGAAGCACAGGTCAGAACATTTCTCAATATAATGTAACAGAAGTTAAGAGGAAAGGGAACCAGCTTCAGTCATCCCCATCTCAATAAGAGAGATCACCATCCATACAATGGATTCTTTTTTTCTGCCTCATCTTCTATATCTAATGCATTGGGAGTCCTGCTACCCCTAGACAATATTACGAATCAGTCTATGAATCTTCATTTCCACTACTAACTCTTAATCAGGACCACCATCATCTCTTGCCTTGACTACTACAGCAGTTTTCTAACTATTCTGCCTGCTTCTACCACTTCCTCTATTAAAACCTATCCTTTAAACAAATGTTTAGAGTGATGTTTAGCAAGGTAAATAAAATCATGTCACATGCCTGTATAAAACCATTTCATAGCTGTATACTGCACACAGAATGAAATTCAAACTCCTTACCTTTACAAAGCCCTGAATGATCAGGCCTCTACTCTCTTTGGCGTCACCTCTCTCAGTTTCTCTTCTGCCGAAATGCTTCAATCACATGACCTTCTTTGAGTGCCTCTAAAACCAATATGCAAACTTGGTCCCACCTTAGGTCCTTTGCACTCCATTTTTTTCCCCTGGAAAATTCTTCCTCTAGGTAAGGGTTTCCCCAATTGGCACCTTGGACATTTCAATACAACTCTTTCTCTGAGGAGCTGTGTTGTTTAGCTTCATTGGCAAGATGCTGATAGTACACCCCACCTAGTTATTACACCAAGAAATGTCTCCAGACATTGCCAAATTTCCTCTGGTAGAGCAAAATCACTCCCAATTGACAACTACTTCAAGTGACTGGCTCTTTTCTTTCATTTATTCAGCATGTATCAACAGAGTTCCTCTTATGTGCCTCGCAGGTGTTCGTGTACAAGTGTACGGTGTACAAGCCAGACAAGAATATCTACTTTACAGAGTTTACATTTAAATGGAAGAGATAATCAATCAATCAAACTCAGATCCATTCAAATAATGGTATTTGTTAAATGAACTGAAAATACAATGAATGAAAACTAACTTAAGTCAGTCTAAATTTACAACTAAAGCTTCTTTCAGTGGCACGCTTATCCAACAAGAGAGGCAGGCAAACTCTGACCCTCAGATTTACTACCTGGGATCTGATTCTTATTCTAAGCCTGCTTGTTTTTAAAATGTCTAATGAATTATCTCTTTCGAGCCAAATATTAAATCTATATACCTCTTTTATCTCAAAATATTATGCCACCTAAGAAAGGATCTACTTTAATCTGCATGTTGAATCCGCATAGGATGTCTTTAAGTCATGAATTCTGAAAGGCTACAGTATTGTTGAATAGATTATATCCTTGAATCCATTATTGGCATTATAGAGCTGTTAGGTATTTGCCTTTATGTCCCAACTGCTAGAAAGAACAAAATTATAGCTTTCAAAAACAGCCATTTTTTATTATACTAACTGCAGCTGGCATTTTCCTTAAAATCAGATATAATACTTTGCTGACCTAAGTTAACGCATTCCGAGCAGGGTAAGAGGGGTCTACCAGAGATACCGATGGGAAAGTAACCAGGCTCTAAGAAATTCCTCAAACAAGGCAGGTAGAGAAACTGATCTAGGTGTTTCTGAGTAACCTAGCCAGAAAACCTCTTAAACAATGCTCTTCTTTTATTAACCTCATCAAGATAGAAATATTTGAGAGAATTTCACATGCAGATATTTTTGTTAGAATTCTACAAATAAATTTAAGTCAGTAAAAAACAATTTTCAATGACTTTATTGAAAAACAAATGATCTGTTTAGATGAGTCAAAGCTACCATGGATCCCCAGGTACTGTCTTCAGGTGAAGTGCCAATGCAATGACATTCAGTATAATGGAATTTCATGCTAGCTGAAACAGTGTGTGACACAATTGGTTGCAAACTGGAGTTGCTGGCACTGTTTTTTCCCCACTTCTCAATAACTATGAGGCTATAAAAGGTATTTCTTCATCTTTTGCACAACTTTTATTCAGTGCTTCTGCTGGAGATAAGGGCAAAAAACTCTGTAAACTGGACAGTTACACCGTATGGCTGATCAGAGAAGAAGAAATAAATAACTTCTCCAGGCAGCTAATCAGTTTATAACATATATTGATTGTTTGCTGTCAGCAGAGCTTTTTAGTCAGGCTGTTTTGTTCTGCGAAACAGGAACTGGTGTCCTTTTTCTGTGTGTGTTTTTAGAGGATCGTTTCTAATGTAACTGTAAAACCTAATTACTTCACATTTCCAAAGTACCAGACCATAAAATAGTATAAATTTTAACAGGCAAAATAATCTAACAGGAAAAATAATTATATGCACTTTGGAGTGGTGACCTTTACAAACTCATATTGTTTCTTAAAAAATGAAATGACTTTAAGTAGGTATGACAACAATTTATCCAGACAAAATGCTATCTATTTCTCCTACTTTTAAAAGTTTATAATTTTTACTTTTTGAATAGCAATAGTAAGAAACACTTCTTTAAACTTTGCCAAGCTGTAATTTTAATCTTTGTCAAATGCCCCAAAAGTAATTCGCTCACAGCAACTCGAAGCCAGCACTTAGGAACTGAGCTCTGTCCTCACTTGGCTATAGTCTTAGATATTCAAGAATAGGTTCATGCACGTGTGCACGCACGCACACACGTGTGCCTGCACACACACACGCGCACACACACACACACACACACACATGCGTGCGTGCATATTTATCCACTCACTTGCATTTTTCCTGGAGCTAAATAAAGTTAAATTAAAATCGACTAGTGTGAATGAAAGAGAAAAGTTTCAGTCCACGAGAAGGTTTGGTAAGTACTATAAAGGCTGTACACATCCTAATATATGCAAAGATTCTATTCAGATACATTATTCTAAAGTATCATTAATAATCATCTAATAATAGAATAAGTTCATATTTTCAGATTTAAAAAAAGTTCATACTTATCCTTCCCTTCTCTGACCAAAAACAGCATACGCATACATGAGACTTACACCTTTATTTGCCTCATAAATAAGCGGCTGCCAAACAGCTAAGCCATTATTCTTGTCTAACTCCTGAGGTGGCATGAAAACCACATTCCTGGGCACTGCATAATCATCATGTCTGACCCCCCAAGAACCATTAAGTCAAATTTATTTACCCTCAGAGTGCAGTACACTATTGTATCCTCTCCACTTTCTAGCCACCTATGAACCTATGAATAGTAATTGCAACT